AATGTGCTTGAATGGACCCCAAAAAAAAGTTATCTCTGTAGACAGTTGTGTCAAGCTTTGTCGGGCTTCGTCTGAATCGGTAGTAATCTGACGCTAAGCCTAAGACAACAGGTGGTAGAATACTTGTTATCCACTTGGACATAACGACGCAGTAGTTTAGCCTTCAGTATCGAAATCATCTTTCACGTCTGTGTTTTCTATTCGTTAAGATTTCGTGGTTCTTTTCCTGAAACGTAAAAGTGACATCTATAATATATTTTCTGTTTATACATAAAGCATTAAACCAAATGTAATATACGATGTATATGATTTTATAAAACGGTAAATAAATTTAGTTATCAAATTTTTGTCTTTTAATTATTAAATAAAATATTTCGATTTCCCCGGGAAAGTTCAGTACAAGTTAACAAACCGCATAGAACGTTTTTTTCCTTTTCCTTTTAATCGAGCTAAACATTTGCAGCCTCCATGAAAACAACTATTAGAAATATATAAACAAAGCAAAAACAAAAGGTTGTTGTGCAAGTTGTGAAAGGCTTGTATTTTTATAGACTCTGATATTTTCATATTGAAACAATAACAATGGACAATTTAAAATCTTAATTTCAATAGTGTTTAAAGTTTATATCGTGCCAGAAATTTCCATCTGGCCCGGCATGGCCAGGTGGTTAAGGCACTCGACTCGCAATCTGAGGGTCACGGGTTCGAATCCCTGTCACACCAAACATTCTCGCCCTTTCAGCCGTGGGGGCGTTATATTCCCACTATTCGTTGGTAAAAGAGTAGCCCAAGAGTTGGCGGTGGGTGGTGATGACTAGCTGCCTTCCCTCTAGTCTTACACTGCTAAATTAGGGACGGCTAGCGCAGATAGCCCTCGTGTAGCTTTGCGCGAAATTCAAAACAAAACAAACAAATTTCCATCTACAACGTCGATAGTGCATGGAATGAAACGGACTTCCAGTTTTCAAAACAACGTATAATTAATAAAAAAAAAACTTTCATAAACTTGATGTCTGAAATGTCACAAACAGTACCTCAAAAAGTTCAAAATAAAATAAAAAAAATCCCCTGGTTTCACATTCCTTTCTTAAACTCTTGCTTTCAACAAGCTTCCTGATTGACTTTCATAAGTAGTTGGTGCAATGTAGAAAGAAACGTTTTTGTTTTTTCTTAGCTTTTTATCGGCGATATGGAGGTTATGTTACACGTGATTTTCTCTATTTATGTGTGTGTTGAATCGGAGTGCAAAGTGACACACACGTAACACATTCTGTCACCGAAGTATTTTCATTGTTTCGAAAATAACTTCAGTTTAAACGTAATGAGGTATAAGCTTATTTTTTATTTCTATGCTTAATAATTGTGCTAGAAATCACTTAGACTGCACACATGCACGTTATTCTAAACTTGTCATTTTTGGAGCATTGTTTTCACATCCTTAGGGTGTGAAATCCGAAATGGGTAAGAAGAAGAAGAAGAGTGAAAAAAATTCTACAAGTATTTTTTCATGTTTAAGAAAAGTTAGTAAAATTTTTACACTCCAAAATATGCTTCATTCATTATACTAGTTAAATCATTCCTTTTTTTACCGGTGCTATTTCAGACATATTATTAAATATATTACCTCACCCATCCCAACAATAGGGCCGGGCGTGGCCTAGTGTGTAGTGTTTATACTGTGAATCTGAAGTTTCGTGGCTATCAGTCTGCTCGCGATTGTCCCTCGGTGGTACAGTGATAAATCTGAGGTTAAATTCCTTACGTTGGCCACAGCAGATAGCTCAATATGGCTTTGTTCTAAAACGAACAAATTATTCGCGATCCTTTTATTCCTTCTGACAACCCAATTGAGTCCAAAAGGTCAATTATGGATGACGATTCGCAGATAGATCTTTGAGTAGCTGTGGGCTAAAACTTTAACAAAATTCTCTATTATCTATCTTCCACACTGACGATACTTTAGATATACTGATGTTTCTTTTACACAGAGTTAGATTCCCCGTGGTTGAAAGAACGCAGATATCCTATTGTGTAGGATTTGAGTAGCTGTGGGCTAAAACTCTTTAACAAAATTCTCTGTTATCTATCTTCCACACTGACGATACTGATGTTTCTTTTACACAGAGTTAGATTCCCCGTGGTTGAAAGAACGCAGATATCCTATTGTGTAGCTTTGTGGTTTAAAAACAAAACAAAATCAAACAGTCCCACATTGATGATACAGCGCCCCTTCAGCAAACAATGAGCGCTCATGTTTCTTCTAATAACTTTTTAGACCACTAAAATATTTTACTAAAATTAAAATTGTAAAGCAATAATAGTTAATTCTTGTGGTTTGCTTTTAACAAATATAACTTTGAAACCCTCAAAACTTTTCTATCCGCCCCCTTCAAAGTTTACTGCCCCACTGAATTTTAAAAACACCCAATAAGGGGTGGCACGCACAGGTTGGGAAACAGCATTAGATATACTAATCTACAAATCTCTGTTCCACACCGAGGATACTTTAGATATAGTAATCTACAAACCTCTGTTCCACACGGATGATACTTTAGATATAGTAATCTACAAACGACTGTTCCACACGAAGGGTGATTTAGATACAGTAATCTACAAACCTCTGTTCCACACCGAGGATGATTTAGATATAATAATCTACAAACCTCTGTTCCACACCGAGGATGATTTAGATATAATAATCTACAAACCTCTGTTCCACGCGGAGGATGATTTAGATATATAATCTACAAACCTCTGTTCCACGCGGAGGATGATTTAGATATAGTAATCTACAAACCTCTGTTCCACGCGGAGGATGATTTAGATATAGTAATCTACAAACCTCTGTTCCACACCGAGGATGCTTTAGATATAATAATCTACAAACCTCTGTTCCACACAAGATATAATAATCTACAAACCTCTGTTCCACACGGAGGATGATTTAGATATAGTAATCTACAAACCTCTGTTCCACACGGAGGATGATTTAGATATAGTAATCTACAAGGAGGATGATTTAGATATAGTAATCTACAAACCTCTGTTCCACACGGAGGATGATTTAGATATAGTAATCTACAAACCTCTGTTCCACACCGAGGATGTTTTAGATATGATAATCTACAAACCTCTGTTCCACACCGAGGATGTTTTAGATATAATAATCTACAAACCTCTGTTCCACACGGAGGATGATTTAGATATAGTAACTACAAACCTCTGTTCCACACGGAGGATGATTTAGATATAGTAATCTACAAACTTTTGTTCCACGCGGAAGATGATTTAGATTATATAGTTTTTATAATAAGCCATTATTTCAACGGAAGATTACGGGATTGTTGTAAGAATAACCCAAAACGAAGAATCCTTCCTCTTCTCTGAAGGTTCATCTTAATACATAGCTTTGCAACGTATTTTTGATCCTTCATAGAATTAAATATACTTACTCTCACTAAAACGTTATATTTTCATCTTTTATTACCATTAGTTAGTTCATCTGACTTTTTGTTTTTGTGTGAAAACCCAAGACACAAACTAAAAACAATGACTAAATGTTAGCTCATTATCTCCAGTAAACCAGTAAGTTTGATTAGTTTGTTTGTTTTAGAACAAAGCCACATGGGCTATCCACGGGGAATGGATCTCCGGATTTTAGCGTTGCAAGTCCGTAAACTTACTCTAGTAAGAAGGGGTAACAACGATTCGAATTCATTATAGTGTTGTGTATCTTACCTATTATTTCAATTTATCTTGACTGAAAATTTTGTAGATGTTTGGAATCCTGAAGATAAAAACTTTTATGTAGATTATAATTCCTGTAATTAAGTGGATTTCTGGAAAAGCTTTTCCGAGGTTCAAATAAAGAAATTTGAACAGCATTCGTCTATAAATATTGACGGAATCGTCTTTGTAGACGACCAGTGTGAGAAAATCCTTTACATACTATAGCAGTGGCCAAGAGCTACAGGTTTAAAGTATTCCAACTGAAATAAACACAAACTTATAAATAAAAGCATGAGTATATAAAAGTTTGATAATTTTCTTGTGTCAAAACAATCTTCGGTGAACGTTTCCGTTATTTTAGTATGTTGTTTTATATTAGTTGAAACGCAGTGGAAACACTTTCATAAAAGATTCCAAATAAGCGACTTGCGCAAAAATATTCAAAGTTCATTTTGTTTTCTATTTTTGAACAAAATCGTATCTAGTCGTAGAGTAAACTGTACTGATCATGGTTCCGTAGAACGTCTTGCCCTAACTCTAGCCCGGCATGGCCAGGTGGTTAGGGCGTTCGACTCGCAATCTGCGGGTTCGAATCCCCGTCCCACCAAAAATGCTCGCCCTTTCAGCCGTGGGGACGTTATAACGTGACGGTCAATCCCACTATTCGTTGGCGGTGGGTGGTGATGACTAGCTGCCTTCCATCTGGTCTTACACTGCTAAATTAAGGACGGCTAGCGCAGATAGCCCTCGTGTAGCTTTGCGCGAAATTCAAAAAACGAACAAAGCAAACTCTGTCGGGCGGACACCCCCTGCGGTCAGGGCGAACTTTCACGTACCAAATTCCGATTGTTTGCATGGTTATTGCATTTGCTACATGTAACGTCAATAGGTACAAGTGATATTGTTTTATCTAGGTAATGAATAAGGATGTTACAACAGTTGTGAGAAGAAAATCAATATTTATATTTACTATTTCTAGCATTTTGAGACTTGCACCGTGCTGTTAATTAAGATAGTGTGGTTTCTCGAACAAATTAGCCCCCCCCCCAGTGGCACAGTGGTATGTACTGCTAGAAACCGGGTTTCGATACCCGTGGTGGGCAGAGCAGAGATAGCCGTTTGTGTAGCTTTGTGCTTAACTACAAACAAACAAACATTTTTTTATTTATTTATTTTTACTGGATAGCGCATGTAAACTCGTTTTCATATTAAAAATTTCTGTAATCCATTTGTTGTATTCATTCTAAGATTTTTTTTTTTTTGGTAACCAGCTGCCAGAAGGGGCGGAACTGACGCTTGCTGAGCTCCGCGAGATGGCAGCACGTCAACAACAACAGATCGAGGCCCAGCAACAGCTCCTGGTGGCTAAGGAACAACGTCTTAAGTTCTTAAAACAGCAAGAGGTACGACACCACCATGGAGCCCAAACAACAGAAGGAGATCGGTTGCGATATTTGCGTGAAAGGGTGGAAGGTCAAGAGCAGAAACTCCGCCGATTGAGGGCGCTGCGAAACCAGGTAGACCAACAGCGAGTGAACAATGGTAACCTAGGTACGGTTTGCTACTTAATTGTTTCATGTTATGTAACTTTAAAATTTATTTTTGTTAAGGACATGCGTTTGTTTTTAAATAAGTATATTCGGTCTTAATTGTTAGCTGTAAAACTTCAGAAAATGTTCATTCTCAATAGTCAAAATATTTTCGTTGTTGTATGTGTATGTATGAATATATCAATTTTCTTTTCGGAGAGTATATACATACACACCTACTAGAACTAGAACTATATACATACACACCTACTAGAACTATTTAAAATGTTTTTTTTCTATTTTATAAACTAAGACAACTTAAGTGAAGTTAGATGTTATGTATTTTTCAATTTTTGGCTAAGAAATATTTGGAAACATTTTACAACTCTTCTAATATCTGTAAACTTAAAAAAAATTGGCCTGCATTTTATCCATCACGCTTGTAATTGCTAGCACTAAGAATATTTCACTATGGCGTAATCACATTGAATGATTGTGGATGAGCGTTGCCCTGTATTCTGGTTCTTTGTCTTTGCGAGACTGTACTTTGTTTAATAGCTTCATCATCTAATCCAGTCACGCCTGTTAGACGTCTTTCTATAGGCGTGTTTGCTAGGGAGATGAACCCTCAGTTGCTAATCCCTTGAAGTGATTGTTGTGGGTACAATCTTGATTTATAAACAAACCGTTAGTTGAAAATTCACCTTTTTTTTTCACTTTGTTCGTCACATTCGTAACAGTATGTCTTAACAAATGTCTTAAGTAGTCATGATTCTTTTTGTAATAAAAAAACAACAACAGCAAAATAAAAACAGAAAAGATAAAAGCACCTTTTGTTGTTGTTGTTTGTACAATTTTAATTACATAAGGGGGTCAGTATGAAGAGCTTTCAGAGTTGGTTGTTGGTTCATTAGTTTTGAAAAGGTCATAGTGCTCATAAAGTAATTACAGTAAAGGGGCATAGTGGACATGAGATGATGATGGTAAAGGAAAGGGGTGGACAGAATTCCAATGATTATTGTAAAGTTCATAGTGTCATTTTTTACATGGTGTCTATAGCAAATATCATTATGGACATATCAGTATGCTTAAGGTCACACGTTAATAATGGCAAGGGTCATAGTAGATGTATGGTAATACTTACAGTAATTAGGATATGAAGAAACTTCAAAAGAGGGAAGTATATTAAAGTTTCCTGAACGAGAGTTTTTATTCTATTTATAGAAGGAAAAATACTGAACATGATAAAAAAAATTAGAAAATACAACTCGAGCTAGTACTACTTAATATTTAAGTTACGTTTCAGTCTTTAGAATTCTGTCAAGAGGTAGGAAATAAGAAAAAAAAACGAAAATGGCTCCGGATGAATTCATACCAGTTATTTTTCAGGTTCATAGCATACTCAATATACTACTGATAATCGTATTTTAATATAATATAGCAGACAATTATTTTGAAAATGGAAGAAGGATACTTTAGGTGAGCTAGGCTGAAGAAGAATGCTTAACCAATACAGATCCACATGAGCGTTCGAGGTAATAACCACATTATTATGAACCATTTGGAATCTCGGTCTACATTCCAGAGAAATCTCCCCTCACCTCACACACACACACACACACACACACACACACGCGCGCGCGCAGACTCTCTACCCTAACCTGGTAAAACAACTCAACGAAGTATAATAATATAGTCATGACTGAGTGATTTGCACGGGAGGAGGGAGTACAAGCTGATATGGTGTCTCAGTAGGCCAGTGAGATTCTCATAACTTTAAGCACGCTAATGCGAGTATTTCAAACAACCTCCCTATGGATGAATATTAAAAAGAGAGAGAGAGAGAGAGAAATCATGCTTCAAATGCATTCAAAAGTTTAGAGAGAAGATGAAATGGTGAAAATAGTTTAAGTAGCGGAGGGGACAGAATATACAAGCGTAAATGAAAGCATTATGAACAATCCAATGGACATGCTAAATTGTGCAAAACGAATGATAGAGAACTGATATGTAACATCATGTTTATGTCGATACAGTAACCAAGGAGGCTAAAATCTTGACCACGATTATCTAAGTAACAATGAGGATATAGGTCCCATTATTTATATGTACCTGGCTATATTGGTTCGAAAGCCCAAGATGTATACTGGTAGTGACAGGCCATTACGAAATCAACAAAAGGAAGGTTCAGTAATACTTTCTGAATTTACAATGGTCAAAATGAAAGTGGAAGGCTAAGCTTTAGTTTGGGATACCATGGTACAAAATATTTTTGATAAGTATCTTTCTTCAAATATTACCACTTCCCTGACTTTGGAATGGATAAAAACTAAATTATTCCAGACGAACCTATTGTTTCACCAAGGAAAATGGTGACACATGAAACCTAACTCTTTAGACTCGTCGGAAGAGAAATATCGCTGGTTCAGCGTCGTCAGCCATCCGAATCACATTAGGTTTAGTGAGGACCATCCACGTAGTTGTGGTACTTTTTATCCTCTTATGAAATAACAAGATAGTCCCAGCAGATGGTTCAACAGTGACATTTCGGTTCATCTAACTAGTAGGTCACGCCCCAGCCCCTTTTACAACTTTAGCGTCTTTTTGGGTTCTTCAATCCTATGTTCTCGTCTATTGGATCTGCTTTGCCTCTGTGATGTGTGTGTTTTTTTTGGCATTGTTACAGTTTCAAACATACTGTTGGTGGAACGTGATTTGTAGTCACTATGAGAAAAATCATTACACTAAGTTTATTTAGTATAAATTGAACTGGACCTCCCTTGAACTTAGACTTCGAAGTTAAACAATTTTCGGAATACTAAGTTTATTTATTGTTATAGTCTGTTTTAGCGCAAAACTACACAATAGGGTTTGTCCACCACGAGGAATCGAACTCCAAATTTTGGTGTTGTAGGTCCGTAAACTTAGCGTTGACCAACTGAGGGACTTTTTAGGTGTCAGAGGTTTCAAATTGCATGGCGTGATTTTTGAAATTTGGATAAAAGGTTCCCCTGGATTGCATTTTTACAGAAAAAAACACGAGTTCTATATGATATAACACTTACGGAATTTTTATATTTCCGGGTGTTTTAATAGTATTACAGGTTTAGCTAATTAAATTTAAAGTTCTACCGGATTACACTATCTTAGCATAACTTGTAAAAAATAGACATTGCAAAAGTTATGTCATTTCTAAATGCAAATTTAATTCGATCAAATTATATTATATTGAGTAAATTTACTCAAGGCTTTCGAAGTCATTCAGGTTCCTATAATTTACAATAAGCTCAATTGTAGAGCTCGCCGATCTGCTTGAAAGCTTGCGATGAACAAATATATCTAGAGCAAAGGTTCTCCATCTGTGGTTCGTGAACTTCCTTCATGAGGGTTATATAATTATGGAAAGGAAGTTGCTTCTAAGATCCAATTATAAACCCGAAATTTGTAACATTAAAAGCTTTGCTAATATAAAAGCAGGTGGAAGGCATATACATGGAAAATATCCCAAGCGGAAAAGGTCTCAACTTCCTTTATGCAGTTATGGAGTTAACGAGGAGGGGGGTTAAAATGTGGTAAATTCCTCAGTTTATTGCGTGGTCCACCGGGATTTTTGAAAAAATCAAGTGAGTCACTGACCAAAAAAGTGAGAACCATTGATATGGGGTTAGCTTTGATATATATTTATATTCATCATTGCAAGACGTTTTCTAGTCTGTTTGTTTGGTTTCTTCAAGATTACCAGTGAGACGTTGTGGGGGGGGGGTACGTAACTATTCTATTATAGGTCAAACAATCTGAATTCTGAAAACCTATAGATATTTATGTATATTTATTGCAGTATTAGCTGGGCGATTAGCGATATAAACTAATTGATTGATCGAGGAGCTCATTAATCCATTAGTACACGCATCCCCCCTCCTCCCGACCTTCCCAATCTTGTATAAGCAATAGAAAATAAAACAGGTGTGTTCTAGCTTCGTAACTTTTCAACCACTGCAATATTCAAATATGGTATTAACAATGTTTTTTTATGTAGTTTTACTCACGGTTTCAAATACTCATACTGATGATCGCCATTTGGCCATTTTGCTAAAACGTATTTTTGTCTAAAAAATATTTTCCACGAATTAAAAAAAAATTATCTAGACATTTCCTATTTAGCGAACGAATCTCTAATGTTGTCTATATAACACCCACGTGGTCGTCATTACTTTTGTTTTTAAGTTACGCAGTAATCTCGCATAGATCTTCAGTAAATCAAATAAATTGATAACTAAGTAATAAAACTGACACTGATGAGGGTAATAATATTATTATACACAGCATATCACGATTGAAATTAGAAATAATTAAGTAGCCAGTCAGCCAATTTACTTATTACGTTGTTTTAATAAAATAAAAATAATATTCAATAAGAATTTCAGTCACCAGAATATTTTGCACTCGCCTACAATACTCACTAAACACTGAATTTAATTAAACTTATCTGATTTGATGATGATTTTATTTTATTTCGTGAACATAAAAAAAACTCGAGTTTACAAACATTGCAACTCATTAAAAGCATAGTATATCCATCAAAAAGTGAAAACACTGTATGTAGACAAAGAATGGACATCTTGTGGCCCAACTCAAACAGTTTTTATTGTCATGTCTTTTTGGGTTGTTTTTTTTCACTCCAGTGAGTAATCTTACCTCGTAAAATGGATAACGTGCAAGAAAAGGCTCAATGTGTTGTTTGGCTTGCAGAGACCAAGTCAGTGACTGTGGTGCAGCGTAATTACCATATGGGGTATGTTAAGGATATCATGTATCGCACACCTATAACAAGCATCATGGAGCTAAAGACCAGGATGACGGACGCAGCGAACGTGGACTGAAATTGAGTATCGGTTAGACGTGCTGGGAGCCACTAATTTTGCACACTTAGAAGTCTATTGACATGTCAATAAAAACTCTTTGATTTGGGCTACAAGATGTAGAAAACTGCGTGGTTATATTTCTTTAGATGTTAATTATTAA